ACTGCAGTCACGGCATCACCCCAAAGCTGACCTCACCAGAGTGAAGAGCACCCCACTGTAGTGCTGAGAGTCGCACTGAAGAGCACCCCACTGAGCTGGGTGAGAGTCGCTTTTTACCTTTGAATTCAACTGGATCAAAACCTTCTCAGGAATGCCTTACCTTGTTAGTTTTCTGCCTTGAGCCTCATTGCCTACAGCCAGCCCTTTCCTTAGGATTTATCAAAGYTCTCCCACAAATATCAGAGACACTATGCCAGGAATTTCGCCCAGAAAGCGCTTATGAACCAGTTTTCCTCCCATCACCTACATGCAGTTCTTCGAGCAGGGAGACAAAAGCAACATGGAAGACTAAAGACAACACTTTAAATATTGAGTAGTGGATACCTTGTGCACCTGTCAGTCATTTGACTGACTTTTTAGTGTATAAACCTTATAAGTGTGTGCTTCTACACAATTTCTATACAGCCAACAGTATCCTGAGTCATGCAGGATAAATAGAACTGTTTTCAGAGCTGACTAGCACTGGCTGGCCATGGTCTAGATGAAGAATGAGGACTGCTAGTTCAGAGCAGCCCATGCAATTCAAAGTGCTGAGACAATGGGAAATTTCCAGGGAAAGAAAAATGCATGTGAGCGTATAAGGAACTTGAATGGCCATATAATTTGAGGAGTAATGACTCTGCAATACCTAAATTGGATCAAGGTAAATGTGTTTCATATTTTCTCATTTTCCATGGGGCATTAATGTCKTAATGTTTCATTCCCTCTTCTATGTTGCTACTAAAAATTGCTCTATTCACATACRTTTCTGAAAGTATATTTTTATGTGGAAGGGCTTATTAATATGCGCTTTGAGAAACAAAATATGGGCCATAAAAATCCACAGAATAAGCAAGTCTTTGGTTTTGTTTAATACAGCTCTTGTATTCATGTGCACATAAATGAAAGTATGTGAGTTTTAAACAAGCATCTGTGTCTTTATCCTCATGATACTTCAGGTTGACTTTCWGTAATTCTTGAAGTTCTTGAAGTGACCTAAGTCTGATGTCATCACAGAAACACAGTAAAAAAAAGATGATAGYTTTCTGTACAGCTGTAATTTTGTGGTCAGAACTATGTTTTTGTGTGTGCTTACAGATGAGGGCAAGACTTTTGTAGCACAGGAAAAAAAGACAATTCTTCTAGCTCTTGGGTTGTGTAAGCTTCTTCCTCTTCATCCACACAAAGAGCATCAAGGCCTTGTCCCAGAAAGTGATGTCCTTTCCCACAGCTCCCCCAAACCCACCTACTTGCGGGACCCYTTCACTCCTGACAGAGCAGTTGGCAGAACCAGTCCACAAACTGGTTCATGATTTTTGATTTACTGGCCGGKAGACCAAACAGATAGAAAATCAATGAGCTCCTGGTAGTATGATGGCTTTTTCTGGGTCTCCTTTCTCTAATATTTGCATTTACCCTCTGTCTCACATTTTCCATCCATATATAAGGGATGGAAAACACTCACACCGCAGGATAAGTCTCAAAACGGGCTACACAAACAGGTTAGACTGCAGCTCTTTGGAGAAACACTAAACCTGGGGGTTTGTCTAAACAATGCTTTCTCCCACAGCATAGGTCCTTGACCTAAGGTTCCATCCATCCATCCATCCATCCATCCATCCATCCATCCATCCATCCATCCATCCAAGTAAGGATCCAGAGGGCGCAATAATCTGAAGCCAGAATCCAAAACCAGGTCTTGAGATAAAGGACATGGTGGCTGAATTTGTCATATAAGTGAATAGGTTGGTTGTTGGAGCATTCTTCCAAGAAGCAAAGATATYCCGGAAGACTGATTTATAAGTGAATTTTCTGGCCAAGGAACTATTCTGTCTGAAATCCTTGATGAACTCAAAGAAAAATCTTGAAGAAAAATTAGTTTCTATGCAATTCTGAAGTGGCATATACATATTTTTTCAGAAATAACAKTAAGTTTTCTGTAATTATGAAATGCAGACAAACACTGTGAAACAGAGTTTGAAAGCAGAGGTGCTAAAGATTTTAAGTATAAACTGAACTGCTGACAGCTTTGTGAATGCAACATGTCAGTTATCAAGGAATGCAAAGGATAACTGAATGGGTATTTGTGATACAGGCAGTACTCTATACTTTGAAGCTAAGGGAAGAAAGCAGGTTGAAAACATTGCATTTGTGTGACTCATAACTCCCAGRATTTGCCTCTGTTGAAAAGAATTCAGAACTTTTTCACTGGTAGTAGAAAGTAGGATAAAGTGAAATGCACATCACATCATRAAATGCTTTATCAGAGCTGCTGAAGATGCTGGTCTGTAATATTTGAGATATGTCAGAGGATACCAGGTCAATGGTTTATAACACTATSAGGTTAAACGTCTATAGATTTTCATAAAATAAAAGCCCAGTGTTTATATTCTGAGTAATAACTTACAGCATTGAAGTTGACAATTTTTAAGAATCTCATTTTTCACCATTTTGGTAGCTGGCACATTCCACTGACTAGACTGAGAAAAATGAAGTTGATGAGAGTGACAGGCACCGAGCTCTGCATGGCTGCTGCTGTCTCGCTTGGCYTGCAAAGGCTACACCCCTGCCTGACAGACGCTGCCATGAGGAACCCCATTAAGATACAATTTAAAACAAGGTRGTCCTGGAAGTATCTCATCGAAACAAAACTTGGTTGGAAGCTACATTTAGCCCGTCAGATTCCTTTGAATATATGGAACATGAATAAAGAGGGTGTAAAGCCCAAACAACAGATTTTCATCAGTTCAAATGATCAGATCTCAAACTGCACTTGAAAGCAAAATGAATTTCTGGTTGATATGTATAACCACTACATACAGGTGTCCAAGCTTTGGAAAGAAAGCTGTATTTTCACATAATATGAAAACTTTTCTTATTAGCAGGAATAACCTATCAGGTAGCATGCATTAACAGTAGTTAAGATTTCACATATATAAAAATATTTGGCATGAATCCAGGTAGAAATTTAAAGATCTCAATATCTGCCATAAAGGAGAAGTAGCTTGTATCAACTCCACTTGTTTTTACATTTTATTCCTAAGGAGAATTGGTCTTGACAAGCAAGCAGCATAACCATCAATACACTGTGTTGATAAGCAGATACCTTCATGCACAACTGCCTGAACTTYGCTCACAAAAGCAAAAGGATGCAAAGTGAGCATGAACAACTAAAATGATATTTTAGCAATGCTTTTGCATGTAAGTTCAGTGAATCATTCATCTTTTTATGTCAAATCAAGATTGGTGCTTTCCAAGAAAATGTAATTCAGCTCGCCCCTAGTTAAGYTTCAGAAAAACACAGATAACTTAGTGAAATTTAGCCTGATCTCTTGCATGTTACAGACTATTCAATCACCTAAAAGTCCCTTCTGGCCTTTAAGGCCAAGAATTTCAAGAATTCTATTATAATCAGAGTTTAAATACATARCTCCTAAGGAAGTCCTTATTCCAATAGTTGTAGTCATGCATAGCACAACTGCGTATCTCACCTACAGAAATATAAAAAACACCCATTTACTCCATATGACAGTCTGTCCTACTGAATATAAATATGTTGTCGCTTTTKCAAATTGGAAATGTATCTGCTATTTCTCTTGCATGGCACACATCATGTCACAGCAGTTTACACATTTACAAGTCTCAGATGGTGAACAACACCTTAGCCCCATATATATTTTTTCCACCCCAGCTCTCTGTATGTCCTTATGTTATATTTTAGATGCTGCCTTGATAAGGCAAATATAGRTCCATGACATGCTTTCTTCTTTAACTGCTGAGAAGGCAAGAGGTAAGTCTTTTCTTTACCAGTACTAAAACAGCATTAAATGAGAAATACATGAGGAAGCCTCTTTCTTTGACTGAATTAAAACCAGCACTATCAGCCAGACTGATACATGGCACCCATGTACCTGGCTAATTGTATTCTCTCTGACATGGACTCTGATATATTGTCAGTTATGTCCACTTTATTCCCTTCATCAAAATTCAGACGGTATCTTCTCAAATCTCCTATGTGAAGGTGTGAAACTTAGTTTAAAAGAAACTCAAGCTGAAACTTGGAAACATTTACTTACATTCAAACACAACTGTAATTACTAAACGCGACTATTTATTTAATTTACAGATACATAGATGATACCTGACGAACATAAGTGATAAGGTTACAGCGACTCCAGATTAGATGGCACATTACAGGTAAGCGCAGCCATGACCTGCACTAATCTGAAGCAGGAACCCCGCGTTTCGTGGCCCAGAAGTCACCCCGTGGCAGCCCCGCGCCCTCGGGCAGCCCGGCCCGTCACGGAGCCGCGGTGGGCGGCCGGAGCAGCCGTGCCCGGGGAGCACGGTCCGTGCGAGGCTGCGATCGCCGCCCGGGGCGGAGCCGCCCCGTCCCGTCCCGTCCCGTCCCGTCCGGTCCCGTCGCGCCACCCCGGCTCGCCCGATGCCCGCCGGGGCAAAGTACCGGCAAGCCCGCCCCGCCGTCCCCGGCACGGCCGGACCCGCGGAGGGCGCTGCCGTACCTTGCTGAACACCTCCAGGTCGTCCTCCTCATCGTCCAGCGCCAGCACCTCGGCGGCGGCGAGCAGCGGCCCCCGGGCTGTGCAGAGGGCACCCGCGGCGAGGTGCGGGTCGGCGTCGGGCCCTTCCCCGCCGGCGGGGAGCGGCGGCCCCGGTGCCCGGCCCKCCGCCTCCATCCTGCCCAGAGAGCGCGGGCGGCGGCCCCGCCAGAGCCGCTCCCCGCGGGACCGCAATTGGCCGCTCCCCCGCCCGCCCCTGGCCGCGGCCGGGCCGGGGGCAGCGCCCAGAGCACAGGAGTGGAAGCGGCGGCGGCGGCAGGGCCACGCTGCCGGGTCGGGCCGGGAGGGAGCGGGGCCGGGAGGTGCCGAGCCTGCCGGCAGGCCCGGGCGGCGAGCGGGGGGACTGCGGCTGCGGCCTCTGCGGAGGCGGGACGGGGCGGCTCAGCGCCCACAGGCGTGTTCGTGCCGGCGCGGGGGACCCCGCCCGGGCCGCCCCCGGGGCCGCTGCTGGCCGGAGCCGCTGGAAAACGTGTGTGGAGTGCCCCGGTGCGGAGCGCCCCGTGCGGCCCCGGGCAGCCCCCGGGCCCGGCAGGGACGTACCCAGGCTTTCTTTCCTGCGTTCTCCCGGTTGGTCTCTTCCGTCCTGGTAGGAGCCCAAGTCCCGCCACCGGGGCAGCAGCCAAAACCCACGCGTGGCTGCTTTGTCTCTCGCCTCTCGTACGCCTTGGGCAGCCACTCGTAGCTGGACCCCTTCGCCGTGGGGTCAGGTGTGTCCTGATGCTGATGCCAGGGGCTACTTTGGCGTCAGAAATGTGCTTATGAGAACAAACACCAGAACATTACATCCGAAGAACAGCGGGGAGAGAGACACCAAACATTTAAAACTAGCAGAGCTGTCCTTTGTTTTTTTAAGTAAAAACATCGGAATCGGGGGATTTCGAAGTTGCCATTATTAAACTGGAAGYAATGGCCGGCGCTGTTGGTTGCAGGAGCCAGGGCCGAGCAGGGAAGTGGCGGGAGGGGAAGGCAGCCCTGACCTGTCGTGGGCTCCAGCACTTCCCGGGGATCRCCGGTTCTGTGCCGGACAGCAGCGCTCCGCTGCCGGGTCGGGCACTCACCGAGTCCCACGTTTGCTCACTGTGGAACAGGACATGTCTTTCCAGGCGCCGCCTAAAACAGCTGAAGTCAATTTTGTTGTWAATGTAAATTTCAGGAGTCCTGGGCGGGTTCTTAAAAAGGCAGATACAACACCGGCTTTGTGTATCTTGGTTCCCTTGCTGTCAAATTAGAAAAGGCAAACCCTGTAATCAAACAAGAGTGTTTTGAAAAGTATTCCTTCGTGAAACAGTGCTGGCACTTGATGAGGAAGTTCATTTGATTTTCATGCTTTTCAGCRAAGTCTTGAGCCACAACTTGAAATAAAGGGATAAAAATAAACACTAAATGTTCACTGAACGATGCAAAGAGACAAAGACTATGCCTGCCTAACTAGAGAATGTTTCATTCTAAGACATTTTAATTCTTATTTAAAAAGTACTGTAAAATTCAGAAGGAGCTGGGGGCAGTGGCCCGCTGCACGCCTCGGGTGCCAGAAGCGTTTGCTGCAGGAGATCGCTGTCGCGGGGAGCAGCCGGCAGAGGGAGATGGGATGGGATGCGCCTGTGCTGCAGCCTCGGACGCTCGCTTTTGGCTGAGGACGTTTCAGTAAGTTCAAATGAACAATTTTTTTGTAGTATTGAAATAACAACTGACCCTGGTACGAGATCTCCAGGTTTCTTTTCTTTCCTACCCTGTTAGACTGTCCCTGCCCCGCCGCTCTTTGCTGTGTATCAGTTCYGTGCTTGAGGAGCACGGGTTTCTCTGGTGTGCTGTGTCTCTCACAGACTGTGGGGCTCTCGGCTGAGTGCAGTTCGCCTCCAGGTGCTGCAAGGGGCGTGCTGGGGCTCCTTGTGCTGCAGGTGCTGCTTAGCTGGCGTCAAATCTACAGCTCTTCCCACCTCTTGTCTTTTACTGTTCYTTTCCAGTGTCCTCGCTGCTCCTGTATCTTCTAATCGTCTTCAGGTACCAAATAGTGATGAAAAGCGACTGTCACAATGTAAATTTTCTACTCTGTTTTTTGTACATCAGTGAGAAGTGTAGCTTCTGTCTTTGTATATAGCTGATAGTATATAGTTTCCACTGGCTTTGCCCTTATTTCTTAGTACCACGTGTTGTGCTGGAGGCCTGCASGTTTTTTGGATAGAATAAGTACCTACAACCCCTATAATGCCTGCGTTTTTTATTTGACTGTATTTAAATTCAGATTATGTACTTGAGAGGCAATAACAAAATAAAACTCATCAAGGATCACAATTTAAGATCACAGTACACATCAGAGCCAGTCAAAGAAAGTATAAAATTGATGTACTGTGGGCTTGAATGCTAAGACTGTTGTCTGAATCCTACTATTTTTTCAAAGTTTTACCATTCTCTTGGATTCTTTATTTCTGTTTSAGAGAAATAACATAAGATGCTTTGATTTGATTTCTTCTTATAGCTATTTATTAACTCCTTGATCAAGCTTAAGAAAACGTATTTTTATATTCCTTGCTGGCAGTGCTTATCTTTCTGTGCTTTACATTTGAAGTATCAATCTGTAAGGAAAAAGTATTCATTGTCCTTCACTCTAGAAAAATATACATTGCATTTAACGGTTATTTGGAAGTTTAATTATCAAAAGGACCCCTGCTAAAACAAATAGGAGACTGTTCTGTGATCACTTTCAGCTGCCCTCCCCACCCTCTACCCCAGATGTCCCTAATTTCTGTTGAAAGGGCCCAGTAAGCAAATACATCTTCAGGGCACCTTCCCACCCATGCTGAGTCCCAGGGGCAGCTGCCAGCATCTCTCCCCTGCAATATATAGCAAAAAGAGCATTTTACAGACTCAGGAATTTCTTCCTCATTTTCTGCTGTAGGACTGGAGATGACCTAAAAGAGTTGGATAGTTGTTCTATTCAAAGATACTGTGGATAGTGTATATACACAGCTACACTTAGCAAAGTGGATTCACAGGTTTCTCTTGTACTTTCATTTCACAAGTGTGTTGCTATAAATCTTGGTTTTTCTTCATTTTCATGTGTGTATATTCACAGGCTCCAGGTTTCCTGGGCACCAGGGWTTTACACATTTTATTGCACGTATCGTTCCCTGAACCCATGGAATGAGATCTTTGCARTAATTAAGAGTCAATATATTAGATGTTGTTATGCCGTGAATATTATCACCCCACTTATTTAAAGAAATAAATATTGTGCTGAAACAACACTTGACAATATTTTGCTAAATAAATTTTAACATTTTGTAAAATACAGTGTTTTCTAAATATCTATGCAGTTTTCATTAAAGTTCTCAGGCTTTCCAGGCCCTCCTACTCAGGATCACTGAGTGAAATATTCTTATATGCCAGTGTTGAGCTGCAACTGCCTCCAAATTTTATTTATTCACTTAAGCCCAAAAAGCTATTTTGTATTACAAAAATGTCAATATTATTCCTACTTGCATTTTCTCTTTTTCTTTGGTARGAGTGTTGATCCTCGCTAGTAATCCCTTCCAGAGTTGCTTTTCCTTGAACAAATTAAATTTACAAACACCGAAGCAGAACCAAGCTATTCCTTTGCTCTTATGTGCAGGCTGCATGTGATCCCTTTAGGCCACAATACCACTTTGAATACTTAATGTTGACTTGTCAAGTTTCACCAACTGCACAGTGATATGGACAGGATTAAATCTTGTTTTATTTTACCATCTCCCTAGCCAGGCAGCAGCAGGCTATAGAGGGCTCATAGTGTTTTACTCTGTTCCACCACTGCAGTGCAAATAAGCGTATTAGTGAATCTGCTGACATTCAGCACCTTGACGCAAATGAGAACGTTTTTCTAGGTCTGAAATGGATTGTCAAGTAGCATTCTTGTCAGGGTTGTGTAGTGCATAAGCAGAAGTCATTATGTTTACACCCAGAAGATATTTTGATGGTGAATTAAGGGCTGACCTTCATATGATACCATTTATTAGAGCAAGCTTTTTAGTAAGCTCCATTTAATGGCTCAAAATGGGGTTAACTATTCATGTTCCATGTCTGAACTCACAAGGAAGTTGGAACATTAAAACTCTCTGCATTGGGAGCTGCTTAGCTTTTCAGCTGCCTCTGTTTTGTGGTTGAAAGGTAATTGTTGAATTCTTGTGTTGTTTTTGTTGTTGTTGTTAATTTAAGTTTGGAAGATTCTTTAATTGGAATATTGTAAAATGATTTATCTGTCAGACTGTGGATATCCTGCAAGCTTATTTTTCTCAGAGACTATCAGACTGCTTTTCCTTTCTGACTGCCCAAAGGAAATTACAATGTAGTGTACTCATAATCATGTTATCTCTTTTATAGCTGCAGATCATTTTTATGGCRTTGCAGCTGTACAAAGCCCTGATCGATATCTGGAGATGTGCTATCCTTTTAAGTTATGTGACTGCCAAATTTTAGACATGAAAATATTCCAGGTGAAGCACTCTTGGGTTTCATATATTTTACAAYGTCTAAAAACAGTTCCTAAGCTCCATTTGATATGAAAGCATTGTTTTAGGTTTTTTTTKGGGGGGGAGGTGGGTTATACTTTGCACTGTTGCCAAGTAGAGTCTATCTGTTCTAATATAGCATTGTCTTTCTGCTGAAGAAATGCTTTCATGTTTTCAAATAAATGCTCCTGTTCTTGGTTTTTTATGAACTGTATATTTAGAAATCTGTACTGTATGGCATGAAATATTAGAATATCTCCTAGTCTAAAAGTATGCAAAAATAGAAATTTATAACACATCTATAAAGGCTTATTGAATTAAACTGATACATTAATCAGAGTTCTCTCTATTTTTAATTTTTATGATACCAAGTTTGGAACTCTAGGTAAAGAGAAATGATACAGATTAATACTAGACCTCAGTTATCCTGTTTATCAATGACCAGTTGTGGCCCTATTTGTTAAATAAATGAAAAAAATTACAGTGGTTGATATGAATGCTATATCCTTACAGTTGTCTGTTTATCATCCATTTAAATTGAAGCATTCTGTATTTCAGCTGGTACAATGTAATGTCTTTGAAAACACTGAGCAAACTCGTGATCATTATTTGACCTTCTAGGCACTGGTTTGCCATTATTTCAAGGTTAATTAACCTTTACAGAATTGCTTTAAAAGGATTTAACAGTCTTTAATGTTCACACATGCTTTTAGTGACCCTAAAAACTTTTTGGTAGGTAGGTAGGTTTGTAGTAAGTGAGCCTTCTTAAACCAAGACAGAAGTTACATCATGGATGAATTAACACTCCATATTCATGATGTGTTAATAGACTTATTTTTTTAGATAGCAAATTTATGGGTCTTTTCCCTTAGTTTAYTCCTACCAGGATGACTATTAAGTAAGTTTTATATAAGAGATTGTTTTACTCCTCAAATTCACATCTGAACTATTGACATAAAATTTGGATCTACATGCAACCTAATTAACATTCCAATACTAACTGATAGAAAGCGACATGTATATAAGTATTCATAAAACATGTAGAAAATTAATACTACAGCTACATTACTACAGTATCTCTCACTTTTATCTGAGCACTTCCACAAAACTCTGCATAATACTAATTGTAAAGGACAGTGATTCAAGGTCATTCTTGCTAAAAGCTTCCATTTTTTGTTCTACAGAGATCAGAAAWTTTTTTTAAAAGCCCGATCACCATAATGCAGAAATAAAAGTATGGTCATACTTAGTGGATTATGACCCAGAGGAAAGAATGGGAACAGCATGGCAGCAGAGGGGAATTTTAAGTGATGTATGTGAAACTGCCAAAATGAGAATTGCAGCTGAAGGAACTGAGCCAGGAGTCTAACTACAATCAATATTGAGGTTAAGTAAACAATTACAGTCTGCCAGAGTTGGAAGAAAATCCACACAGCCTGACAGGGTACCTGAAGTGTCTTCAGGTATAAATTCTGAATTTAGTTCATGGATTGCCTTTTTTGTCACTTGTACAGACTGTAACTGATTTTTTTTTAATTTTTTTTTTGCAGTCTATGAGGCAAAAACTGTTCTCAGTGTGTGAAGAGCTGTTGTTAAGCCCTTGCAAACAAATGATGCATTTCAATTAATTGTGGAGATAGTTTTAAAAATCTGGAAACTGGTGAGACTCAGAAGTGACCAAAGAACCGTGTATGTTAACAAATAAYCTGAATGGTCAGGGAAGCAGACTTATGAATAATTTAAAAACACAAGAGTAATTTTGGGTCCCTTTGTGAACACTGAGCTTGCCCGACATAGACGACRTCAAGCCAAAAATGGAAATAGCTGTGTTTACAATATTTTAAGATAGTTTTCTTATCAAAGGTTAATATGTGGAAATGCCCTTGTTTGAAAACTTGGCAGTTGGTCTAACAGAAGATTATTCCTCTCCTTTACGTTCCCWTCCTCTCCTAAATTTATTTGTTATAAAGTTGCTAAATAGCTCAAAATAGTCTCAACACCGTTAAAAGAGATGCCTAAATCTCWAAAAGAGCTGAGATAGATTTATAGAAGTACTTGTCTCCAAATACTGAGAAGAACTATTGCCAAATTCTAGAAAAGAATAGCAGGGGAAACAATTTAAATTTCAAGACTTTCATGCCATGATGTAATCCAAGAACAGAGTGACTTTGGATGGTATGGCCGGGCTGCAGCTGCAAGAGCTCTAGATCAGATGGGAAGGAAGTTTTCCAGCAGATGTGATTTACAGTAGCAACACAAGCAGTCATTTGCTTCCTGCAGTTTTCTCTTTTGTGAGAAAATGAAAAAGACCAGATTCGTCTGTGTCTTRGAGGGGAAACAGTGGGATTAATTAGGTCATTATTATATTCAACTGATTTTTCACTGAGGGATGATGTGATAGCAATGCACTGATGATGTTGACCCTATGGATTTGCAAGAGAMCTTCTGTTTAAAATGAGGTTTGTGGATAGACTGAGGCATTGAAATACTGTGTTCTGGTGAGCTGCAGTGAGCTCTGTAGTTAGACAGCATTGGTACTTGTTTACCACTGAGAGAAACAGAAAAGCTGTTAGGCAAGATGAAACTGCAGGGGAGAGTAGGTGTACCTCCCCAGCTGCTAGGAATTAAATCCCTGTCATATTAGATGAAAGCTTAAATACATTAAATTTCTCTTCTTTATTCATCTTTCTGATAAGCAACTGCTAAAAGGTTGCTGTAGACTTTAAAAAGGAGGAATATAGGAAGGAATGGAGGAGAATTTAGGGCATGTAGTACAATATTTATACTTCACCTATTCCATGCTCTGAAAATGTTTAGAAATCAGAGAGGTCAGTTCCTCCTACCTTAARTATATAACTGTGCTTTTCTTATCTGTGAAGCAAAATTGCATTCTATTTTTGGCTTTAATGAACTTCTGAAGCATTAATAGATTTTTTAATATATATATATATCCCATATCACTTAAGACAGCGAATGAGTAGACTGCATTTCTCAGCCTATGGCCACATATACTGTAATAGTTGATTCGGTGTTCTGTAAAAAATTCTCTTTAAACTGACTTAAGGAAAGGAAGTGAAGGAATCAAACCAAACAGAGTAGTCATGAACTTAAACCCAGATGAAAAAAGATTTCAATAATCTTCTGTTTATGCAGTGTATTTAAAAGTRTGATCTAGTTAATAAAGCATTTTTTTCTCATTATTTTTATAGTAAACCCCCCCAAATAATGTAGTAACATGCAGGTTAACCCACAAGCAGGAGGAATGAGTATCCAGTAAAAGTATGGCCTAAAATGCAAATGATTTTAACACGAAATTATGTCTTGTAAAAAAATGAATCAGTCATTTTTTAGGTAACCACAATGCAGAGTGGAATGGATACAAGTTATTTCGTAGTTGATCATAAGGTAACTAATGGTACACACTGCTGAAGRAGCTGAAAATAGGAAATAGCTTGGATAATCTGCCTCTGGGGACTGACATTTCCATGGTGGGCAAAGTGAGTCTGAAGCCAAGGAGTGGGATAAGACAGATTTTTGGACTGCCMAGCCTGTCTCCTGTTAACAGAAAGAGCAAGTTCAAGTGTTTTCTGGTGATGGTGCAGGTAACAGTGGGCAGAAACACGGTTCAAAAAGTGAGGRGATGTGACACTGAGAGATGCTTTAGTGGGCATGGTGCATTGGGTCAGCAGTTGGATTGGTGATCTTGGAGGTTTTTTCCAACCTTAGTTATTCTGCATTAGACATAGTACAAGAATGTAGTAGGAAAAAAGGTGAGAAATCTTATGAGGTAATCACAAAAGATAGAATTGCATATTAATTTATGAGGCAGAAATTAATAGATTTAGTGTAGATTCTTTGTGGTTTGAATCAAAATCACTTCAAAATCAGAATGATAGAAAAATTCTATTAGTTTTGTGAGTCTGTAGGATRTTGTAGGGTTGAATTTGCTTACTAAAAGGAATCTTTTAAAAGCATTTTGTGTTTTAACATTCTGTRTGTGGTTAAAGCTTTTAAGTAGTAGCAGGCGTTGTGACCATATGGGTGGGCAGCCCTGCATATGGAAGTTTTTTCTTCTTCAGAATAGCTTGGAGAACAAATGCTGATAGTATTGGTTATTTCTGCTGGTAATAGCTGACAGTTTTTTCACTTCATCAATAGGTTTCATTTAAATAATGAAGATATTCTAGATGAGCTGATTGAAGAATGTATGATGTGTGATTCAGATARAATTAAATGACAGGAGTAAAAGAAATCTGTATGTAACTGAGCATTTCAAAGTTCAATTCTCTTACAGATGTGTATGATTAAATCAATCTACCAAAGAAGCCCAGAAATGTGGAGAAGGTCTGGAACTTCCTTATTCAAACATTTTAACACTCTCTGCCATTAATATCAGAACAAAGGAAAAAAGCATTGTAGAAATAACAAAACTGGATGAATAGCCACATTATTAAAAGTAAATTAGCAGAATGTAAAAAGATTGCAGAAAGGACTYACAGGCATAGAAATGTATGCAAAAGAGTTAAAAAAAGATAGGAGTAAGGTGAATTAAAGTCAAGCAGAGCTAGACTCTTGCACTGGATATTAAACATGATAAAATTACTCAGCCTTATGCAAGGATTTCAGAAACAAACCACTAAGAAAAACATGTGATCTCTGTTCAGAGATTAATTGTATGAACCTAAAAATAATGAAATGTATTATTCTATCTTCATTAGAGACACTGCTGCTGATTGTAATGAGAAATGGTGGTCGCTTAGTAGGAATAAGTCCACAAGCTTTATAAAAATCATTGCAGCTGTGATACAAGCAGTTTGAYGTAGCCAAGGATGGTGATCAGCAGTTCCTTGGCCAGAAGGATATTGGCTTCTGAAATCTCATATCTGACCATATGACAGCAAATACACAGTGATGGGGGAGAAGGAAAAATGATCCAAGCGGTTATAGGTGATTAATCCTACCTTGAGACTTGAGAACAACTTCTGAAGAAAGTCCTTCCTGTACCTGCAAATAAATGCTTGACTGATTCCAGCTTTGGTTACAAGTGTTGGCTGTCACGGGACTGCCACTGTTGGCAGTGCACACACACCCTCTCAGAGACCGCGTGTTCTTAGGAGCCAGTTTACCCCACCCTTGGGCTGAAAGGCTTCTGTACAATTTGTATCTTCAGGTAGTATTAGACATTTTTTTTAAGTGTCTGAGCATGGCTCAGTCTAGAAATTCTTAATTTCTTGCCTGTAACTTAATTTTCATACATACCAGGCAGATCAAGATTTCCACAAGCATGTATTTCTGTACGAGAAAGTTTTCGTCTACAATTATGTACCAAAAGTTAATATGGATGCAGAACGCATACTATGGAGTTTCTGTGAGATTCCCCTCCCACTGACTTATGAATGCAGCTAACTCTGTGATCTTGACTTTCTTTTTGAGGATGAGAAAGAGAGATTGTGAAGAACACACTTGAGTCAACAAAGATTTTCCCGTAAGAATCAAGTCCCCTGGATGATTTTCAAATTTTGTCCTGGAAGGTAAGTGCTTTAGATAATTTACTAGCACTAGGCATAAATTAAGTTGTGATTTGCAATCTGTTAGAAAAATTAAATTTATTTCTAAAATGTGTCTAAATGGTTATATTGTGAATGAGGTGAAAAAACCCACAACAGATCTTTCCCAGTGGGTTTCCTGACAAGGGAATTTTCTTCTTGACCATCAGAACAAACAGCTAGACAAAAAGCATCCCAAATACCACATTTTCTCTACTGTATCTACAGGGACTGTAAGAAAAATAGGCTTAGCCCAAATATCAGAGAGCAATTTGGTCATTTGGGGACCTGTGGTCTTTCTCACAGTTTAGGACTGTCTGTTGAACTGAGGTTTTAGAAGTTCTCAGAACTGAGATGAGGTGGTGGTGGACATTTTTACAACATAAGTCATTTTASTATTAAAATAACTGCTTAGAGTGCTTATAGTCTATAAAGAGTGCTGGAAGAGGACTGTGTGATGAATAATAATCTTGGGCAATGCTGATAAATTAAAAATAAAACCTGGCTTWAGAATTTCCTCAGAGGAGCTTGTGAATCTTTACGTTTTCCCCAAATTAAATATCAAATTATTGGTAATGCCTGGCATCCTTTGTAGGAATGTAATTCAGATACACTCATCAAAAGAGCTCATATCATTAGTGGGGTGATTGTGTCATCTTCCATGGAAATATTCCACACCATTGGTGTTTCTTGGCAGACTGACATGTTTTCACTYGACATTGCTGCAATCTCTGGGAAAGCAAGCCCTACCTTTCTGTGAATAATTCATTAGTGAGCCATCACACTGAAGCATTCCCTTCTTCTGAGGGAAGAGGGAAGGGATTGCAAAACTCCTTACATTTTACTTTTTTTTAATGCTACCTTGCAGTCTTAACACWTCTTAAGTGTTTGTCCATAGGAATCTTCTATCACAAAACAAACTCTCAGTTCTTATCCTTTGGTTTGTAAATTAATCCACATAATTTTTCTGAAGGGTTCTGGATCAGAGCAGCGGAMAGCTGCTGATGCAATGTAACCTTTCTGAGAGTGTGGGTTGTCTGGAACTGGACAAAAATGCCAGTAAATCAAACTTTCAGAAATCCAGCTAAGAAACATAGCTGACTATTGAGTAAAATATGCTAAAATATGTTTTATAATGACTATGTAGAGTTCCATTACGAGCAGCGAGCATGCAGGATATGTGGTACACTCCTGGCAGAACCAGGGAAAGGTGGCCTTTCATACTTGACCAGACAATGGAGGGCTCAGTGAAAACATTTACATGGAGTTTGTTGTCTTTTGAAGAGTAAAAAGCCTGTATCTTCACTTCACCTTGATAAATGTTCCTATTTCTAGTAAAGATTTTAAAAAAGAACTTGAAGCAGAAGAGTCAGTATGGTTTTTAAAAAAAAATATTTTGGGTATGCCTTTTTTAGGTATCCTGCTTGAAAATTCTACCAATGACTTTTTTCCCTAAAATTGTATCAATATCAGGTGTTCACTTTGTTCTTTACTTTTTCATTTCTARTATGTATTTTTTCATGTCTGCTAGAAAAGCTTGACTCTCAGTTTAAAGCATGTTTTTGGTAGCAGGCAGGCAAGGGCTGGATGAGCCGTTCTTCTCTTCTTATGTGCAATATCTTGGGTATTTGAAGGGCTCTTTAGTGATCCCTTCCTCTAAGAAGCTCAAATAATTCCTGGTCTTTTATTAATCTGTCAGAGCAGGGGTTGCTTCTGAATTTATCTTAGTATTTCTGTCTGAAACAGCTGTGCAGCCTATGCTTCAAATTGCCAGCATTAAATCAACATARTTTTCCTCCTCATTCTTCATCAATTTGTCATATAGATAAGCCCACTACCTGCACTTGCAATCTTCCATTATCCACTGTTCTTGCTGGTTTCTTCCATATACTCCCATCAACACCCACAAAGGCTTTTTACCCTCAGATATATTCTGTCTTTCTCTCTTTAGGTTTTTTAACTCCACTGCATAAGAGGATGTCTGCAGATAGCTAATGATTCTAAAAATTGAGCATGACATATGACTTATTTTGCCAGTGATGTAGCTAGGTGATTTGGACTTTAATATCTTGAGATCACATAAAGGAAATTAAAAAATTATAAAGCAGATAAAAAGGAAAAAAAATCACAAGAATAATGCATCTTGATGGTTTTTGTTATTTATATAAACTCTAACATCCAAATTTCTTTTCTAATTACTGAAACTGTACACACTTAAAATGTACACATTGAGGAATATAAATGAATGCACTGTACCTTTCATTATGCACTGTGCAGAAAGTGTCCTTCATGATCAGAATTTTACCCCATGAAATTTAATCCTCATTCAGACTCTTCAGGGGTTATTTCATATATTTGCCTGTCTTTAAATATGCTTTTGTGACATCTGTATRTGTAACCTCCGTAACTAAGATGTGCTTATTTGCATTGTAAAMGAGTAGAGCGTTTCCAGTGCCAGTGCTATAATGAATACTGCATTTGAAAGATCATGCCTCATTTTTCCATGTGCTGTGTCGGCAGCAGTCTTGTAGTCTGTCCTGATATTTCACTGTATAAATTAGACAGCTGAGGAAGGGAGAAGGAGAACAGCAGATATAGATTAAGTGACCTGTTCCATATCGCAGCACAACTTCGACAGCATTAGAACTAGATTSCTAGCCCAACCTACTAAATAAGAGTCATCAGAAGTGTAGTCCTGATTTTTAGGAAGAGGTGACAAGTTTGGAATTGTCTTGARTTTTATTTTTATCCTTTTTATGTCTCTGCAGAAATAATTGTAACTATATACAGTGGCTGTTGTAAACCTCTTTGAAATGGTTTCAGAAATTACTGAGTCTAATTGTCATTTCAGTATGTTTTTCTAAAATGGAAAAAAAATGAAAACTAATTTTTTTACATAGGAAGAAAGATATTTCAAGGGGTTGCTGGTTTTCCTCCATTAGAGCTCAAGAACAATTTGAAAAGGGGCATATATTTTTTTCACATGTGATTTCCATGTATGCACTTACTGGATGCTAAGAAAACAACTGATAGATTTTTTTAAAAGGAAAATATGTATTTGCATGGRAAAAGATGAGCAAACTAATCAAAACACCTGAAAAAAAAATTAAGACGAGGAGAAATGGAGACGCCTTTAAAAATACTGTTCAAGGTGTTTGCAAATAAATACTTTAAAGGAGTTGAATCCTATATCAAATCAGACCAAAGCTGCTGGTTCCCTTTGCTTCCCTATGGCTGCTGCAGGTGCCCCAGGCTTTCTCCTCCAGTGCAGCTGTGCTCCCCTGAAACAAATGGCATTTCCTGGGGACTGTGGCTTTTGTTACTGGTACAGGAGTCATCGTCATGTGCAATGGGWTATCTCAGTAGTTCTTTCAAATGGCTGTTAAAACAGTGCATGATAAAATCACAACTGCATGCTTGCAGGTAGAGCTACCAGTGGTACAGCTAMCTATATTTTGCTACCCTCAAAGAGGAGCTACTAGAAAAATTGTAGGGCAGCAGGGAAAGGTGTGAAAAGAACAGATGCTCAGTGATTAGTCCTACTGCTGTCTRTCTTCCAACTCCCTCCCAATCTTCTGTTTCAGCTTATGATCTCCAAAATACTGAGKTTTCATAGCTCAACTAATTTCTTTGCCTTACATCACCAGGAATACCTAAMAATGTGAAATATGGAAAAGTTGAGYCARAGTATGCCTATGTCTTCAAAAAGATCTTGGTTTTTACCTGTATAAACGAAACATTTTGCTTGGGAGAATGTAAAATGATGTGCATTAAGAGAATGCTTTGCCTTTTTGATTACAAAGATCTCTTAATTTAGAATTGGCACATTAAAGCAGGGGTAAACCCAGATKGTGATTGCTGCATTGTAAAGCTCACAGACTGTTCTGTAGGATAGAAATTAATGGGATAAAGAAAAAAGTTAAGCAAGGTTGAAGGATGTAGCATAATATTTCTTTCCTAGTATGCCACAGTAAATATTAAAAAGAAATCACATTTAAGGTGACTCTGGTGCAGCACAGCACATATTCCTGGCTTCTCAGGATCTCATGCGGGACTTGAGGAATTTATCCGCCAAGGACTCTGCAACTATGGAGGCTGTTACCAAAAGTGGCAAAGGAGTCTTCTAAGGATTTGTGTGTCAGGGTAGGATGCTGTTGTGTGAACATGTTGAGATACTCGATAAAGAGTAGTGTACATCGCTTGGGGCAGGTAAACAGAGGCTTAAAAGTTCTTCTGGATGGCTAGAAACTGAGCCCCAGAACAGCCAACAGTATCTGGTCCTAGGCTTCTTTATTTTCATAGCTTTGTGCTGTTGGTCATTAGCCCTTAAATACACTTTGCTGCTTGTCACATTTTTAATTTGTGGAATTAAGCTTGTCATCCTTGATCCATATGGTATCTGTAATGTGAACAGGAGAACAGTAGCACTTCAAACACCAGCATATATTTCAAGCAGACCCTGTATACTCGTAAAATGTTGGAGTTTAGGATCTTTCCAATGACATCCATGACTGCTTTGTTTAATGTCAGGCTTCTGAAAGATCCTTTCCTGGCCAATATTGTTTACCTAGCTGTCCCTTAAAGAGAAAGGAGACACAGATCTTGCATTTGAGTTACTCCCTCTCCAGCTGAAAAAACTGTGTAGTGTATTCTTTGTTGTATTTGTTACAGAGTACATGGTTCCTGCCTGAGTATGCCAAGACTACATACTTGTATTGCTTCGCTTTTTACGGTTCATTACATTTGCCCAATGACGTACGCAAAAATCTTATTTTTGCAACAGAATTTCAGTCTCATCTTGCCTTCTCTACTATTTATTTTGTCATCAGAACTGTTGAAATTCATACTATGAGATTTGGCACTCTGTATTTGTTAGTCAGTTTGTTTGGGAACAATTGTGGTTATCTTCTAGATACTTCCATCATGTTTTTTTTGGAACACAGCATTTGTATACAGTATTTGAAAAAATCAGTGATTGAAATCTGAACTGTATGCTGTGCTGATAGAAAGTCTGTCCTGGTTTTGCTTGGRGAGGAATCAGGTTTCAGCGCAAATGGTCATGGTTGTCCCTCTGTATTTTGTTTCTRGTAGGTTGTTCTACAAGCCTGCAGAGTAATGTTACAGAATAAAAGCCTCCTGAATACATTCTAAGTGTTTTGACTTTTATATGTTTTATAGATATGTAGATTTGCTAGAATAGAATATTTGCAATTTCAAGGTTTTTTATTTCCTTATAGCTTGGATAGGATTTTTGTGTGTCAGAAAAGAAATGTCTGTCTTTATCTTCAACTGATTCTTTGCATTAGTGAAAGGAAATGATAAATATGTCTGGGGAAAATAGTCTCCTTTGATTCTTTAGTAGCTTGAAGGTGTTGCTGAAATTCATCAGTTTCTTTATATATGTATGTGAATTCAAAGCCTGAAGATCAATAAGTTTGGGAAAGTTAAGAGCTGCTGGAAAGGGGACAGTGGACTTACTCAGATTCAGCATAAGTGAGACTAGAGATGGAGACAACTGCTTTTAATATTAAAAGCTGTACCTAATTTTCTTCTGATGATTTGTGTAATTTCAAAAACGTGATTTTAAAGCTGAAGCTTTCTGTGAAGCTGTCAAAATTTAATAGTTCACATTTCTGAAATAATCAAATTACATCTTATACATAACTAGAGAGACTGAGGTGATTTTCACAGGCAGTATTGCGCTTAGCASAAAAACAAATGCTAATGTGACTATCAGTACAGGACCAAACTTTATCTGAGATCTGGGGTGTTGCCATGGCAATTCCAATTGTTGGAAAAAAATTCTCTTTTGTGCTTCATTCTGACATTATATTGCAAAATGATGATTATGAAGAAACATGCAACCCAAAAGKGGGGGAAATCTCTTTTTGGAGATGTAAAACATACTTTCTATCACATTTACTTTTTCTGAAACACTCTGTGTGTGCYCAGATTGTTATGAGCTGTATTTTTTGCAGATTCAGATATATTGTTATTTCTCAAGCTGCCATAATAATACTCAGTGTTATTTCTCCCAAATGTAATAATCAACATAATAAGGAACTCAGAGACCTATATCCTATTTCCTATGCAAAATATCAGTTTCTAGTGTATGTTATACTGCTGATATGGCCCTTTTGCTTTTGACAATACTGCCGATGTTAGTTGAAGCATATCTAAAATATAGATCTTGCTTAAGTTATTTATATATATCAGCTCTATAATCTGTGCATAATAGAACAGCTCATAATAGCCAATAGATCAGTCATTTCTGTTTAGCTATAAAATTGTTTTTCTACCAGAACATCTCACTGTGAGAAAATTGATATGGCTATTACCTGTTCCTTGCTAAATCAATACACAACAAGCTTTAAATAAATAAATAATAACGCACCCCTATGCTCCCCCCCCCAAAAAAAAACCCAACAGCCAAACAACAAAACCACACAATACTTCCCCCAAAAAAAACCCCAAAAACACAAAACACAAAAACAAATTAAGGACTACAGTTAAAATGTGGTTTGCACTGCAATTCATGCTGAAGTTTTTGTGCATTCTTTTATGTAGTAAATGTGTAAAATGGGAAATGTTTCCAGAAGAGAACTAATTCTTGCAGTGCTGCATTGCTGCTTTATAAATAAATCATTGTCCTTTCTCTATTGATCACTGGAACAATCCAGTCAAAGAATGCTGACTTAGTGCAGCCTTTCGCAGGATGGCTGGATTGAGAGAAAAAGCCACGTAAGTGGGACCCAGCAGCAGGGAATTGGGAAAATCCYAGACTGGTTAGAGATCAGGTTTGGTGCATGAAATCCCTGACTTTTCTTTTTTTTACCTCCAAAAAAGCTTAACAAATCAGCTGACTTCTACAAGATTTTCTTCCTGTTTGTCTTTCCATAATGTCATCGATCATGAAAAATTAAATATAAGACAATATTGTAATTAGTAGATGATGCTGAAAATCTCTGTTTAATGTATTGTGTGTTTTGTTTTTTTGGTTTTTTTTTTTTTGAGAACACACAAAAATTATCTGCCAAATTTAAATAATGGTCTCAATTATGATATTTATTTGTCAATTTTTTTTTTTTTTTTTTGAGAACACACAAAAATTATCTGCCAAATTTAAATAATGGTCTCAATTATGATATTTATTTGTCAAGAAATAAGGTCTTAAATCTTCAGGAGTAAGTTTGAATTGGTAGACTCTCGGAAATAGTGCTGCATTGCTGTGAATTGAGGYAGAATCTGAATTTTCTTTGGTTATCACAGATAACCAAGATCACAGTTGTCCAGTTGATGATTTGATGATGTCTGATTTGTCAGGACTGCTGGTATCAATCCCCAAGGCTTTTCTGGGAATAAGAGTAGCCTGTTACAGTGAGGAGCTGAGAAATACTACTTGGGTTTGCATGTCTGACCATTCAGATCTGTATTGTATCTCAGAGGCATGTCTTTTTCAAAGCATAGCTTTCACCAAAGCCTGTGGTAGGCATCTATAGCAAGAGTGTGTACTCACAATGTTGTTATCCAGAACTTCCAGGTAGTTCTAGAATATAAAGTTCTTAATTTTCATAAAATAAGATTTACTGGTAGATGCAGCACTCAGCTGATGGCAGGTTATTCAGGGCCGTGGTGATGCATTKCTTTTAGGGCATGTTGTCATCACATGTTTTTTTCTGTTTCTCATTAATTACAATACTTCCAGGATGCAGGTCTGTAAAATGTAATTATGTATTCCACTGGGTGTTTTGTCTCTAGTGCTGCAATCAGAAGCAGCACATGCTGCTGTATTCTCACCAGTGTGCTGTTGGATGGCCAACGGGAAGCAAAGAGACTTGCAAAAGACTTTCTTGACTCCAATGGAGGCGTAGGGCAGGAGCAGGACAGCTSAGGGCGAGCAGCTGTGGGCTGGAATGCCCCTCTGGATCTGGGTTGCCTCGGTTGTGCAGGGGGTGCCCGGGGCTCCYGTTCCCGGTGCTGCTGGCAAGGGGAGACTGTGGGGCTGCCAGGGCTGTGCATCAGTGTGGGCCCGCTGGGTCAGCTCCCAGCTCAACGCCCCAAAATTCTCCCCATTTGAATGGTAAAAGTGGACCAAAAGGACTMCAGGGAATTAATCTGGAGGTACAGAAAGAGTATAGATGAGAGGATGTTGTGCTACCATTGCAGAAAGCATCMGGCACAGCCCTAGTTTCCATTGGACTGGCAGCAGACAGGCTTTCCCTTTCCTCTCCCAGTGTCCAAGTATCAATCGATTCGTGCCTTCAGCTAGGATGCTGAAAAGACTATAATTAACATGAGCATAATAATCCATGAAGTATTTTGTTATGTGAAATAATGCGATCTATTAAACAAACAAAAAACGCGCTGGTGTTTGTTGTTGCTCCTGCGTTTGACCATCTCCCTGTTCCAGCTGGAGCAGAGCCTGGCCGCTGGCCACTAGATGCCACTGTTGTATAAGGACGTGTTGGGCATAATGACTTAGACAATAAGTAATTTACTTAGAGAACATGTATGTGTATAATTAGGAGTCATCAATGTCTTTCTTTTAAAATAAAATAAGTTTACCATATCTAATTAGATATTTCTTATAAGATGGATTTCATTCTAATTGGGTAAAGCTATGCTACTGGTTTAAAATACAGCRAAGGATGTATTTGTATTCACTTTCCCAGTTTCCGTATTTTTTTGATCTTTGCAATAAATGGTTCTGATTACACCTTTTAAATCGATGTTCTCTGAAACTGGTATGACATAAATGACTGTTCTGTCATCGTGATTTTACTGCCATTGTTTTCAGCATGTGAGGTTTTTTAGTGATATCTCTCTTGATCTCATTCTGTCTTTCCCTATCCTCCTGATTGTGATCTTGAACCTGCATGTTCTTTCCATCCGAGCTGAAGTAATCTATTTAAAAAGCCARCAACGGCCACCATGCACGACTCTGGCTTGACCATGACAGCACAGGCTTTCCAGCAGCAGTGAGCTCAGAAATCCACAACTGATGAACCACAACTCCAAAATGTCCGCTGTGCAAGGGGCTTCTTTAAAAGCTCAGATTTCCTGTAGCTGAGTGTTGCCAATGGAAAAACTGGATTTTACAGATGTTGGACTGTATTCAGCCTATGTAAAATTCAGATTCAATGGGGTTTCACAGGGAAGATAAAAACCCTCAAGCTTCAGTATGAATTCAGAAGGACTGGCTGATCATTGTCACACCCAGCACRGGCAAGACTTACACCCCTTCCCAARGCAATTTCATTAATTCCTGAATTCTCTTCACCAACCCAGATTCTGGATTTTCCCACCAAAATGCTGTGTTGCATGCTAATGTAAGTGCTATGCTTCTATTTCAATTCTTTCAGATCTTTGGGATTTTTGGTACTGGTGATCTTACTCAGATCAGCTCTGATGACACCTGCAACGTCGATCACTTCCACCGTAGGAGTGTTCCCATCAGGCCATTCCTGCCTCTCTCTGACACGTGAGCCACTCCCCTGTTTCCCAGTTATGACTAGATCTTGTCTACTCAATCTTGATGGCATCTTTCGAATTGCTTTGAATTATCTCCTGAAAGAACCTACTCTTGCAACAAAACAATGGCAAAGTGATTTTAGAGTAGTTTTCAGATTGTGGTTTATAACTGCTTTGTACCTCAGAAATAGCTTGTCCCAGTGGGCATGGCTTTCTCTGCTCTATCTCTCAATTATCAAATTAGGGATTATTATACAAAAGTTGTACAATATACTCTGTCTTATTTATTGAAGTGTTGGTTCACTAAATAAAGGATCTCTACAATGGTCTGAGCTGGCTGAAAACCTGCTTGAAAATTATAKATTTCAGTGAAAGGTTTCAACAAGCTCTCTTTTTGAAACTGAATGACCAAATTCATTAAAATATAAATTAACCTAAAGAAACATATGAATCACAATGGTATATTTCCATGCCATCTGTTTGGTGTGACTATAAGAGTTTCTTCATGGAGACGAACAGGTACTGCAATCTTTCTCAACTGTAGTTGAATAAATGACTGTGGGGTGAATGAGAAAGAAAAGAGAAYGAGCATGAAAATTGTTTCTGMTGAATGGGAAGAATACTGCAGAATWCTGCAATTGAAAWTAAAACCTATGTTAAACCAGTTTCCTTCACTAAGACATGTCTTAGCTAATCAATTAGCATTGACTGTCTCAGTATTCTAATAATAGGAAAGGATTTAAGGAAATGTCATGTTTCGTTTGTATTTTCAGAACTGTAGATAATTACAGATTATTGCAGAAGAGTGAATATCATCTAAGAAATAAAGGTGAAGAGGATGGAATGAGGATGTCTTATCTCAGGGGAGTTGAATGATCCACCTGYGGGAAGACCTTTGCATCCTCAAAAGGCAGCAACAGAAATTTCTCATAAAGTTTGACCTGTTGTTCTGTCAGTAATATATCCGAGACTCCAGTACAGAGTATCTTGTCAATTCCTTTTAATAAATGACGCTGAACTGATACAGCAGCTTCTCTGATCTGCACCAGTTCTCCACTCTATGCCTTCATGTGTATTTCTGTGAATTGTTGATACACTTGGCCAGTGAGTTTTCTGTGAGTTCAAAGCTAAGCCTTTCACTTTGCCTTCTATAAAACATGCCCAGAAGCTGAATTCTGAAGAGAATGAGTAGGGAGAAAAATATTGATTTTAGATGTTAGGGTAATCCAAGAAAAATGGCTCAAAAATAAAAGGGAAGAGGGAATGCTTTTTTCTTTTTCTTTTTCTTTTTTTTTTTTTTTTAATTTATTTTTTTTTATTTGTAGTTTGTTGCAAATACTTTCCAGAAAATTCTTTAGTAGTAAAGCAATTAGCTCCATATAAATGCAAACAGTAACTGCAGATAGTGCATTTATGACATCCAGAAGGTGCCATGGTGTTCTTAAGAGACACAATTCTACATCTCTTTTTCATCTCACTAGGGAAAAGGAGGATAAGGACTGGTTACTCTTTAAGAATGATGGGCATCAGGTTTATTGTTGGATTTCTGAAAAGGCTTATGTTTGATATCATAGAACACAAACTTGATTAGCTCTAATGTAATTTGTTAGCCTTTGTGATGCAACTCAGTGTATGTCGTTGTGCATCACTCTGATGAAGTAATGTTAGGGAGACAGCCAGAAGAGCCAAATAGTTACAGATTTATGCTCYTGCTAGAAGTGACTAGGACATATTGAATCCCATAAAACAACAGACCTTTACACTTCTAAATCGCCTAGAATATCTTTGAAAATTTGTCATTTAATATAGTCCTAACTTTCTAAACAGCTTAAGGGGTCATCCCAGCATTTCCAGGTAAATTTGGAGACAAATAAAATGAAGAACTGCTGAGGTCTCTTCAGAATGAGAAAGAATAAATCACAATATGTGAAAAAATATTCCATGACTAAAACTTTTCAAACGATGCAATTTTACTGCATTATCATAACCCACAAGTTCTTTAATCACATGAGAACATGAAGAGTGTAAGTAACCTAAGTGTGACTAGGAAAATGGTTCAAGCTTCCTGTGTAAGGTATCTTTCCCCTTCTCTTGTTATTGTCAAATTTTTGTAAGTGGAAGAATTTTTAATATTCAATTGGGTAGCATTTTAAATCAGCCTGGAACAGACAATTTTATGAGAGTTTTACAAACTTCATTTAAACGSAATCCAAGGAAATGGGGAAAAAAGTGTTGCAGATGAGTAATTTTTAAGGAATTAGGAGGAAGAGACACCATTATGTAAAGGAATGTTTAGTATCAAAGCATATAAATAGCTTTAGCTGACAGCAGAACAATAACTTCAAAAGTTAACAAATTATTCTCAAATTTTGATAGAAAAGGAAGCTAGAAAAAGAAAGCTAGATTTATTCCGTTCTGAAGATAAGAAAGGCTGGTTTAATTGTGATTTTGAAGGATTTTTCTGACATGCTCAACTTTTGATTTCAGTGTTTTTAATCCTGATTTGCACTAATAAAAACTAGGTGCAAATGAGTGCTGATGAGTCTGTACTGAAGTTAAACGAATAGTTGAAAATGTCTATGAATATTCATTTAAATTCAGAAATGAACTCCAAATTGATCATGCCTATGACTTTGTGAATTTGCTCTCTATGAGCATACATGCACTTGAAATTAACTTTCATGAATATTTGCAAAAGMAAATTTTCAATTAAATATTTTATATACTTGCAGAAAATAATTTTTCAGTGATATATTTAATTGTGAGATTTGGATTTTGTATCATCCTGCCTGATATTTGTGATCTGTTCTGTGGCACTGTATATTTGAAGGCCTCCGGGAAGGTTGTAGCTGGATGGAACATTTTGGAAATCCTTTACCTTGTGAATTGCAGGATTCATCAAGATGCCAGAAACAAATTGGCATATACAAGAAAATAAGTACAAGAAAATAAGTACAAGAAAATAAGAAACTGTGCAGATTTCAAATTTCCATTTGAAGATTTTTTAAAAAAATATATTGAACATTGTACTTTGGCATGAAGGGAATCTTAGCAGCCAATTTCCCATTTGTGCTATCAGAACATGATCATGGGCAAGTTCAATGACTATGTCCAAGCAGAATAATTTTAAGAAAGTGGCTTTTTGGTTCTTTTAACCATTGAAGACAGGAATTATGATAGATTGCAATGGCTGATAGTTTGCACTAACTTTGAAAAAGTGGTGTRCATGCAATAATAGTCATTGGAGTTCCAAAATAGGATGTGTGGTTTCAGTTAGAAGCTGACTTTACATAAAAAGTCCTAGATCTAATAAGGTGTTTGTATAAAACTGTTCTTGTGGTGTATCCAGTTTAAACAGAAGCTAGAGCCTGTTTTGACTTGCAGGAAGAACTGAAGCTGAAAACTAAATTTTTACTATGGAAYGCAATAGAAATGACAGTTTGGTGAGTCTTCCAAATCAGAAGAAGAAACCAGCACCAGCAGGTGAGTTGGGAGCACGGGGTGTGGGCCTGCTTGGCACAGATAGTCTTGTGCTTTTAATTTTAATTTAGTTTTTATTTTGTGAGTTCATCCATTTTTGTGCTCAAAGTGCAACCACTCATTYTGCTGGATTAAAAGTGTCCTGATTTAATCTTTTACCTTGGTAACTGAGAGGCATATTCCCTATGGCTGATTCAGRTGCTGCAAGAAGTGTACACATACAGGTATTCCCTTGGAGCAGGGGAGTGGTTTCCCACCTAGGTGCTAGAGCCAGCTTGAGGGCAGTGCTGGATCAGTCTCCCTCAGCAGGCACAGGCACAGCCAGTGTCTCTAACAAGCAGCAGAGGAGGGGGAGATTGTTTATGATGCATGAGGTACCATAAGAGGTAATACAACTCAAAAGAAATTGAATCAGGTTCTGAAACTGAGACAACCAAATTTTTCACCATGACCAGCTTGACTTGCAAARGTATTGAGTACCTTGAATCCCATGTTCAAATATTTTACAAACTAAAATATTGTTTATTGGAATGAACTTGTGAGTAATTTAAAGCCAGTTTTCTGGCTTTAACTTCTGTGGTGTCTTCAATTATTTTTAGATAATTCAAAAATGAGAAATGAAGGATGAATAAATTATTTTGTTCCATATTGCTTCTTCATCTCTAGTTTGGATAGTGAGAGAATCCAGCCCCAGTGCCTAGAAGTCATACTCAAGGATTGGATTTCTTGTGTAAAAGTTATACAATGTGATAACACAGTTGTACTGCATATTCAGTTTTGATATGTAACCTTTTAAATAAATTGGAATACTCTTTGTGCCTATACTGGCACACACAGAGAGATCATAAACAATAATTTTGTAAAGGTCACTTCCTCACTAAGCGCTTGAGCTCATGGCAAGAGCAGCATAGGGCTATTAAAGGACCTTTATGCTTCTATTTTTTGGTGTCTGTTAATATTTTTGCAGCTTTGAAGYTCTGTTTAATTTAAAGGCTGTGTAGTCTCCCACGCCATGGGTCTGTCTGTGCAGCCCTGTGCTGTGAGACCCTGGGCTGTGTCCCTGTGCATTTCAATAGTTAGTGCCTGCTGGCCCTGGGATCTGGGGTTACTTGGCAGTGTGGAGCAGCGTGCCCGGGGCTGGCAGCATCCTTCCTGCTGGGAGTGATGGGGATCACAGCAAGATCCAAATGGTGGAGGCTTTTGTGTCAGTAGCATCTCAAGACAGCCAGGTATCAGGAACCTGGACAATAGATGAGTGCCAAGAGTGGCTGAGGGATCTGTACAAGGTGAGAGGTACCAGATGCTTGCCAAGCTCAGTTCAGCTGCATAGCATATTGCTCAGATTTTCTTGCTGCCCTTCTAAGGTGCTAATGAAGTTGTTGGTTGAATCTTTTTGTTTTTTGGTCCAGTGGAAAGCTTGTTCTCTTGGTCTTGCTTGTCTCCAGCAAAATACTTTGTCTCAGAGGAAACACTTGGAAGTTTATAATTCATCCAACCAACATTAAAACTATGTATATCTGCTGGTCTTCAGAAACAAAAGCACATTTTGTTACAAACTCCCCTTATGCTATAAAGACTGTTCTTTCATGTGATTGACAAGGTAGCCTAAATCAATATCCTCTTGTTTTCAGATYTTTATTATTTTGAAGAAATCCACATCTGTCTTGCTAACCGTGTAAGGGGAGGTTATTCACCACTGTAGTGGCATCAGAGGATACCCTCAGCTGGATAAGTGGAGTCTATCTGGTGTCATTAAAATAGMCCCCAGCCTAGATGTGTGTGGTATTTGCAGGGAGGGGAGTTGCAGGAGGCTAAGATGGTGCATTTTAACTCTYAGATGATGTTTTGTCTTCCCTTCTGGCTGCTGGTGTAAAGCCACTGTGGCTCGTAGAAGGAGTGGAGTGTTTGTAACATGCTGGCAAAACACAGAGGTGTCACAATTAGGAAATACCACAGTGTGCCTGGAGACAGGATGGTGGATGTTGCAGGCATGGCCTCTCTGGTGGGCAGAGGTTGGTGCTGCCTGTCCGTCTGCTCGGGGGGACACTGCCATGCCTGCTGTGCCACAGCTGGAATTCCCTGATCCCAGACACAGCACTATGCAAAGCCAGGGCCAGAGATGGGAACARCCCAGGAACCCCCCAACTTCTGCTGCCACCATCCGTGCTGCTGTGGTGTTTATTCAATACCTAGAATTTTGTTTAAAATTATTTCATTTATCTCTCAGTGAGACGCCCTTGAATGGATGCTTCAAAGCTTTGATCTTCTCTTCTGCGGAAGACCTGTGCCTAGCACGTGTCTGTGATCTCAGGGAGGTTACATGCACTCAACAACAGAGGTATGCCAGCCTGAAAGTTTAAATTGCTCAGGTGTCTTATGCTGTAAAATCTCTCCACTCTTTCTAAGGGCAAGCTAGTAAAATCCATATTTCCCAGATTTAAAGTATCAATGTGAGTTTGTTGTTATCTCCTTCTCCATTATTAGATTGTCTGTTTTATRGGATTCTTAATACTCACCTGAATTTTACCACATTTACATGACAGAATTTTAAGGCAAGTCRTAACATTATAAAAGGATGTATCTGTACTTGTTCCACATCACTCCACAAACTGGAACTGTTTTTTTTTTTTTTCTGAAACTGATAATTGCACCTAGTAATTTTACTCCTTTGTCAGCATTTGTCTGACCTTTCCTACTTTCCCCTGCTCCCTGAATCTAAAAAAAATTTTGGTAAGATACTACATAATCATCTCCAAAAAAGGGATAGAACTTCAATCTCATAATAAGGAATAAAAGATGTAATTTCCCTTGTGATTGATAAGCATAATTTGTAAACGAAMCTGCTTTATGAAATGGTGAAAAATGGTTGGAGCAGTTAAAAAATGAATTTAATATGGAGAAAATAGATTCCCCATAAGAAAGAATATAAACTTGTAAATGTGGAATACAAAATTATTTATAGATGTTAAATGAACAAATTAATTTGGCTGACATTACCTCCAATTTACATAGAAACCATTTTTCATATTTTCTGTGTAGACCATTTCCTATGTTTTGCTGTGACTGAGAGAAAAACAAAGCACATGCGTCCTTTAAGGCAAGAGGAAAATATCCCGAAAGTCATTTTAACTGATTCCAATAGTTGTGCAGTGGGCAGAGATTCAGGGAATGACAGAGGCACATGCAGAGAGGGAGGCAGCGATGCCAGGGAAACAGCTGGTGTCTGAAAGGCCCAGTTTGCTGTTGCCGTTGTTGCTCTGCGTGCAGGCTGGGGTGGAGCCCATCAGGCCAGGCTCTAGCAAGAATGATGCTGGGGAGATGCTACCCTGAAACTCTGCCTTGGAAGGCCCCAACCAGCTGGGGTCGAGTATGGCAAAAACAGTCCTAACTCCACAGTACCATGGACAATTGTAAAATCAGCCTCTTGCTGGAGCACGTGGACTCAGTGGGAATGAAGGTACCGAGGAAAAGGCTCTGGGGTCGGCTTGTTTCAATTCTGTTTCCACAGTAGACATTGCCCCTAGAATACATGGACACATATGAGCCTGTCTGGGTACTTCTGGTTCTTCTGTCATGAGACTCTGAAGCCGATTTTTAATCTGTGGACCTTTTTTTCTCTAATTCTTTCTGACACCCCAAAGCTGAAGAGCTGGTGAAGGCCAGAGGTGTGTTCAAAGCACCAGTGTGCAAACAAATCACAGCATGGTTGTGTTATGGCATACCAGCATCCAGCACKTTTCTCATGCAGGAGGACCTAGCTGAACATCTCAGTAGGTGCAGCTAAATTATACAAGCAGAGTCCAGCTCCTGAGCCTCACTRAATGTCTGGGAAGAGTCACAGGCTGGTTTAGAAGCCAGGGATGGTGACTGATTCCTCCTCTTCCCTCTGAATCCTTCCCATCTTGTTGGTGAGGAGTGTAAGAAACACTAACTTATTCTTCCTAGATCAAATTGTAGCTAATCCATGATGAGAAATGCTGGTATCCTTCCTTGCTACTCCGGCATATAAAACACTCTGCAAGTTTTTCCAGGCTGAAAAACTCACTGAATTGAGTCTTGCATGGTGACCAGAAGCAAAGTGCAAAAATGCCTAAAATTAAGGACCTCAATTTAACTCATTATCGTGGGGACATTTCGGGCAGAGGATAATGACAGAAGAATCCAAAACCCAATGGATATATTAAAAGTCTAAGAAATATTTCTGATTTCTTCCACAACCATTAAAAAAAAGAAAAAATAACAACTCTGCTATCCTGTTATGTTTCAACATCGAAACTCACTAGCAAGCTATGTGGAATCAGCCATTCAAATTAACTGTAGCCAGGGGAAGGAAAGGATAGTGTCAAGGTATTAGGAAGAGAAGAGCAAAAAAATAGGTTGCCCATTCTCCTTTTTTTCATCTCTTGCACAGTTTGGCAGAGAGTTCGGGAAGGGGCTTTTCGCCTCTTCAGGGAGAGACATAAACTTGGACCACACATTCTCAAACACTGCCAGCTTGTCATTCAGCTCATGCATTCAAGATGTTGCATATTAATAGCACTCCCTGATGGCTGGTGGATAGGGGTCTCTCCACCTATACAAAATAAGCCTCTTGGCACAACAAAGTACAAAAGAGGCCCGTACAGAGGAAAAAATGCACTTGAGAACTGTTTTGGAGAAACTCTGCACAGATGCTCTTGTGCAGATGCATATTTCAGATGGTTTTTTCCTGATTAGCATGCAGCAAACTCACCTGTTTTGCTGCCTAGAGGAGTCACAGCAGACATGGAGAAACACCTGCGTGAGTTCAGTTCTGTCTCYCTGTGAATACGATTTCCACCCTTATTCCATCACTGTTCTGTGTACCCACTGAGACYCTTTTCAATCCCATCTTGGACATGCCTAAGCCAGCAAACAAGAGCAGTACTTTGGGATGGAGACAAAGCATGAACAGTGCAGGGTGCACGGAAGGGAAGAAGGGAATGTGTGGGTGGATTGGGCACAGGTCGGATGGGTTCTGGTGTGGCTCACATAGGAGGATGAGCTCCCTGGAGCTGTGCAAGAACCTAACATTTGTCATCTGCAGATGATCTGACATTCAGCACATACCCAGCTTTACCTGAGCTCTGRTCATGGGATTCAAGGAAATGAACCAAGCTGTTTCCCACCTCCCCTGCAGCATGCTGGTTACACGTGTCTGCCGTTCATTCTCACACTGAGCTCTACAGGCAGATCCTACACACGCATGGGGAATAAATTTCCTTTGTGCTCTGCTCCATTGTAGTTTACTCCAATGGCAGAAAGCATAGCTCWGTTCTCACCATGTGTTTTGTAAAAACGAACCTCAGGAGGAGAAAGTGGGGAGAGGGTTGCTTATACATGTGTCGGTATCTGATGCAATCCTCAGTGTGAGCCACGTTTTTCTGGGTATTTCAGCATACACTGAAAATGACACATGAGTAGTCCAAGCTATTTTCAGAACTGACAGTTTTCCTTTTCACTCCAACAATTGCTTCTTCAATACACTAGAGTATGCAAAGTGCTTCAATAAACTTTTAATTGGGAGTAGGAGTAGCAGTGAAACTAAGGGAAAACTTTAGGCAAAATGAGAACTGACCTCAGCTCATACCTGTTTCACAGGTTTGTTGTTAACTTTTTGAAAGAAGCTGCACACCTTGGCATTTGTTGGCTTCTGGCAAGGCTTTTCAGAAGTCCTTTTCATGAATCCTGAAACAGCCAWTGAAGGATTGGTTTCACTATGTGCTTGACCCAGGAAAGGCCTAGCAGAAATCTGCTCTGATGGAAGCCATGGGCTAGAGCTCTGGATACATTTTGATCTAAGCTCTTAGGTATTTGTTGAAAACAAAATATTCAAAACGTTAGAGATTTGCAAAAAAATCCTCTCCAGTCCTTACAACAGAGAACAGATTAAGGGCAAAAGTCTCCAGATAAATGTGAGAAATTTTACTGTAGTAAGTTTACTGACTGACACCAAGTATGCAAATATGCCGGGGAAGGGGTCTTTACTTCTTTTTAAGCTGTCCAAATCAGTTAGGCATCTGAGGCGTGGTGATGTATTTCCTAGGAACTTGATTTCTTTCTGTTACACTCCYGACAGGAGTAACCAATCTCTTTGGAGCTTGCAAAGTAGGGTTCGTCCCACAGARCTAATGCTGTGTGTTTTACTTGTAGAAAGGTATGTTTAACAAAAGCTGCCTTCTGGATGAGCTCCAAATATCATTACTATTGTTTAATTTCAGCTKCAGTTCAGCATCTGTTTAAGATAGTTTCAAAGATAATAATCTCACCAGACAGAAACAAAATACAAAACTGAAATTACGTTGCTCWATTATTTTGTTTACTAGTGGTGTTAAAGTACTGTTTTTTGTCTGAATCATGCAGAAGAGTTGTGATTTTTTTTACCTTTAAGCTCCTCTGAAAATACAGCCTTTTAACATCAGTACCTATTTCTTTCCAGATTACGTTATGTGAATGAGTTTGATAGGAGTCACCATGGTGAGGAAAGGATAATGGAATTTCAGGTAAGAGTTCTCCATAATGAATTCATTCCTTACAGCATGTTAACACCCACCCATGGAATTAGGGACCTTTGTAACACAATGCAACAATTTACTAGACATCACAAAACACCAATTATAGAATTGGACTGAAACAGGCTGCCAAATCCTCTGTCCCTGATAAAAGGAGGATAGGTATAGTCATGCCAGCACATTTTAACTCCTTCCTAAAAATTCACTCGGGTCCATTGTGAATGTCTTCAGTGATACAGTAGATCGACTGCAGTGCTATGTGTATGACAYGAAAGTAAAATAAAATAAAAATGAATAGGTCATGAACAGAAGTGAATATGAACTCAATTTGGATCATATTTATTTAAATAATTACAGCAGATCATTAACTTTGAGAATCTCCTGATTTATGCAAAGAAAATGAAAGAGAGTTGGCTTCTATATTGTATATTTAGCTTGATAAAAGAAAGCCAGTCTGTGTGGAAGAAGTGTGCAACTGAAGTTCCTCAGCTGATATTTTATAAAAGCACAATTAAATGTCAGTACCTTACAAAGAACTCTTAAATCCTAAGACTGAATCTCATCTGTTTTTACTGGTAGCAGAGTACCAAACTGTAAGCAGAACTGAGCAGGATCTGACTTTCCATCACAGACAGTTAATAATTAAATCAAACATTATATTCAACAATAGAACATATGCATCAGCTTCTTTCAAATTGCATTTCCTTCCTGTTAGATCCATTAGTGTAAACCAGACTGCCTTTAGAAAACCCCTTATTGCTGCTGTCTTTCAGCACAGTTCCTGAAATGGATAATGTGGTGCATATTATGGGCAATTACACAGAACTCCCTAGTGACAGGGTTTTAGAGTTTCAGAATAAAACAGCTGGAACTACAGGGCTGTAAACTAATCGGAACAAGAGACAATAGTAGCACATTTAATGCACATTGTTAGAACATGGACAAAGACTAGATGTGAAATACTACATATCACTATACCTACCGTATTGCGTGGCATCTTCACTGCAAAATTCTGTTTAACTCTTGAAGGACAGGGCAGTCAAAGCCAAAGATTTTGTGGTGAACAAATGCATGTACAGCTCTATAACCTGAGCKAATTTGAAACACTAGGGGAAGAAGCCTTGATCCTGAGCCCTGGTTTTCTCTTAATGTCAGTGTAGTTTGAATCAAATCCAGAACTCTATTCAAAAATTATAATTTATTAATGAATGCATAATTAATATATACCTAGATATGCTAAAAGCCTGTGTCTCTATCCCTCTTTTACTGTTTCAATACAATGAAAATTTAGCATTTGGGTTGCAAAAATTGCATTTGCTGTTAGATATATCTYGGATACTGCCACAATGCATAGTGTTTGATCCTGCAGCAGTTTAAATTGATGGCAAAGCTCCCATTAATTTTAGTAATACAGCAGTGAATTTTTAGAATAGCACATGCATCATTTAAAAGCACAATGACCGTGATTACATGTGTAATCACAGTAATTGTGCACACAATTACTGGTTGGGTATCTAACTGCCTTTCAAAAATCAGTTGCTCTACTTGCATGTATGCTCACAGCAGTCACTTGTGCAAATGCAGCGCAGCCCAGAGCATCCCCACCTCTGTGCTCACCCCTGAAGTGCTGCAGGGGAGGGCTGGTCTGTGGCAGTGGGGGTGTAGGATAGAGAACTGTGTGTCTACATTGCACTGGTTTAAACAGTAAATAGGAGACGAAGAGAAATGGCTGCAGTGTCTCTTTGGGAAAGTAAAAATGTGAAATTACTTCAACTAATTTTTCAAAAGGACAGAGACTGATTTGCACCAGCTCCTGTCTTGTGAACCTCCTTATCAGCAGTGTCCAGCAGGCATGGGCACGTTAATGTTTTGTAGTGCTATGGCAAAATGATCAAATAATATATCAAATAGCAGCACCATACTAGAATAAAATACAAAATAAAAATTAAAACCAAACAAAACAATACTGAGTAAAATTTTGCAGCTTAAAAAAATTCAGAAAACAGTTAAAGTTTCAATATAGTGTGCAGTGAGTTTCTTAGAATTCAGAACCCAAGAACCAGCTGCTGTGGCTTGTTCTGGTTTAAAAGGTGACTCCTTTTTGCTCAGTAGGCTGATTTCTGTACCTGCAGAAGTATAGAAAAGCACATCCTCCCTAAAAAGGGATAAGACTTCTGGATCCATCCTATTGCTCAGTAAAATGGTAGCCAGAGAAAATTTTACACAAGTCATTTTATTCAGTTTTGTCCCACAGTCGTGGCTTCCCCCCTCGCCTGGGGCATGGTGAGTGTGCGTTGCTTTCCTGGTAACAGCTTTATGGCCCCCCAGCCGAGGGGAGGGGATGGAGGGGCTGGGCATGGCAGGCTGGGCATGGCAGCCCGCTCTGTGCCTCTCCCAAGGGAAGGCTGGGCCATGAGTCCACTTGAGGGAAAGCAGATGTCAGTTAACAGCCAGAAAACAACTTAAACCAGGGAGAAGTTAGCCCCATTCCAGGGGATGGGAGCACTGCAGTTGTGTTAGAATGAGAAGTGGCACAGCCCGTCCCAGAGCCACCCTTGCCACCAGTCCTGACCCTATGGGAAATGCAACTGCCCTTCCATATGGAAGAATCAAAAATAGGCAATGAATGAAAAATGAATTTCTTCTGAGGCTGCCTGTGGCTGGAGGAGGGCAGCTGGACTGGGAGGCCTTCAGCAGACTACACTTTGTGTGTTTGCCAAGGAGGAAACCTTGTAAAATGTGCTGGGGCAGATGTAATGGTTACAAATCACATCTGCTGTCTAAATAAGATCTGAATATCAAATGTTGTAATATTTGACAATATCTGGGTCTCAACTTTCCTTGTTCTAGAGGTGGAAATTTTGAGGCTTATCCCCATATGCAGGATTTTAGTCCCATCAGGGGTTGTGAAGTTTGGTCCAGGACTCTGCTGTGCTGAGCAGACAGTGACTGTACTGTCAGAAGAGGGAACACGTTTCAATGCTTGAACAATGTTTGTCCTGCTTCTGGAAAGCTTCAGCACCTTTCTCCTCAACAGCATTGTCCAGTGGCTGAGCATGGAGCTGCTCTCTCAGAGCCCATGGCCACAGTGACCTGACATGTTTTCAAAATAGCTTTATGCAAGTTAATCCAAGTGTCATGTCCTGCCTCTGCACAAACAGCTGCTAAATAGCTTTTTTAAAACTTTTTTGAAGCTTATGGTTCCCTTCTTGATTCTCTACAACCATCCTGCTGATCAGTGTAGCAGATTCTCTTCTTAATTTCCTTACAGTAAACGTGAAGAAACCTCATTGACGTCCAATCAGAGGGAATTTCAGCTCTCTACATTGCCTTGGGTCTGCAATCTTATACACAGGATCTGTTCATGTAGGCTAAATTCAGTACAGAGCATTAAATGCTGTCACTTTTGTAATTAACATCAGAGAGCTGYATGAAGCCTTGAAGCTACTAAATCCCATAAGTCCTGTAGAAAATGTTTCTTTATACAGATCTGAAGTGTTATTCAAAGGAATTCACCCTAAAAGATGGAGAACTGCTGGGACATGAAGAACATAAAGYTCTAAGACTGTATATTGGAGAAACGTTCCCTCAGAAGTGTGCATTTAGTCACCTTTGGTGACATGCTGCCTTGCCTGCCACCTCTGCAAGCGTGGTCTCACTTTCACTGTTATTGCAACATGTGTCAAACGAAATGAAAACAGAGATTTGGGAAAGGATATAATTAACCTACTTGTAAACATTAACCTTAAATATCTTGCTAATTATCTCACTAATTTAATCACTGCAGATTTCAAACTTGTTTGTTAAATATTTAATTCTGTAAATTGTTTTTGATACAGAGGTGTGGGGAGCTTTCTGTGAGTATAAGTTAGTCTGTAAAACTCAGTAAAACCATTGTTATGTTCACACTTCATTGAACAAACCCTGCTGTCAACAAGACTTTTAATGGAAATCGCAAGAAGCTGTGCCCTGAGGCTAAGAGATATAGTGCCCTATTATTTTAAAATCTAATGAACACATTGTGTGGAGTATAGACCAAGGTAAATTTCTTCCTGCACATCTTCAGGTTTGATTCCATGGGAGTCTAGACTGGAAAGCTCTGGGTTTCCTTGTTTCTTYGGTTGCAGTGAAGCAGTACAGTTATTTCTTACCTATTCACCTCTTAGTTACTTGAGTAACTTAGCAAAATTATGTCCTTGATTTTCAGCCCTTTTTATCAAGTCCTTACCTTGTGCTACAAGGAACCTAAAAGGTGTTTAGATACTCCTGTTACAATGCCACCCAATGTGTCTCTAATTATTYCTGTAAGGAAGCTGCTGGCGGTGTTTGTTGAGAAGCTGAAATCTGTTTGTTCCTTCCTTGCGATGGGAAGAGGGCTGTGCCAGGGGTGTTTGCAGGAGCAGCAGGAGCCAGGCAGGGTCTCGGGGACACGGCTGGCTGTGCAGGCTGGCAGGGGGAACAGGCAGCTCTGGGTGCTGGAGAACATCCCATGAGGAGTGAGTGGCTGAGGCAGGACAAGCTCAGGAGTCACCCCAATCCTCTGTCCATGAGAAGGCAGAGTCCTCAGCTGTGCTGTGCCTCCCCTCACACAGGAGCTTTGGCCAGCCCCTGTTTCAGGCTGTACCCCCGTGGCAGTTCTTGGGCACTGCCGTTCTCTCCGTTTTTGTAACATTTGTTCTCCTAATTGAGGAAGAAGGTAAAAAGATTGGGGCTCACAYTGTGTTTCTGCACTGTAATTCTTACTATCAGAGCAAGGTGCCAACGTGTTCTAACTGCAGATGATGGCTTACAGCAGACCTCTGACAAAAGCCATTTGATGAGTTAGGTATACTGTAAATACCTATTTGGGGCTATATTACTACCTTATCATATATTATTTAGAATTTCATCCTGATTGTCTGTGGTTATTTATTACATGCTTACATACCAGTTAGTTCAATAAAAAACAAATTTCTGTGAATTTAGCTGAATAAAGCTCTGTTTGTTCTTGTTAGTTATAAGAAGTCTYGTTCTTTGTATGCATTATCTCAGTTTCTGGGCATTTTTCCCCTTCATTTACTCCAAAAATTACTTCAATACTAATGAATACTGAAAGACAGCCAAGACAGGATGAACTTTTGGACAATTTATGCAAACACAACCGATGAGAATAGATTTACTATAAACATGTCAGGCACAAAAGACTTGACTGCTTTTTAAATACAGTGATACTGGAAGAGATTTATGGATATTTTCAACTGTTCATTAAAGAGAAAAATATTTTGAAACTATAGGCACTCTCCTTTTATCCGTTTTTGCCTTCCAGGCTGAGTTGCAAACCTTTGATGTTTTCTTCTCCAAAAAATAAAAGTAGTTATGAATTTATTTCTTCCAAGTACTTTCATTTTTATGTCAATTTACAGTTTTTATTACATTCCTGGCAGTCCAAATTATGGTATTTGGAGAGCACCTAGAGTCCATAGCTCTGAGTTTTCTGAAAATAAGGGCTGAGTTCACTTAATGATGCTTTCTGGCTACTGTCTTTTTTCTTCTCCTTTAGTAATAAAAGGTTAATAAAATCTATGAATACTTTAAAGGCCTGTTAGRCCATCCAACCAATTAAAGGTTGTTCTATTCTAAATGACTGGCAGCTGCTTGACAAAAGTTAACATGAAATAGCTAGTACCTGCTAGACCAGGTTAATAAAAAGCAAAGTCTTAGACATGAAAATCATGATAAATATGGTCCCTGTAGTTGACCCAGGCATCAATTCTAACAGCCAGGCGTGTTCCTAACTATTTATTCTGAGAGTCTGCTTCTGTGCCCTTACAAATCAATAGTAAGCCTTGCTTTCAACTTCAGTGCAACTGATGTTGTTGGCAGTCAATGATTTTGCAAGATCAGTTCAAGATATTGGAATAGTTCCATGGAATTATTGGATTCTTTCTTTCTAAAATAGTGTTAAACTCCTAAGTAGGAAGGAATTTAAACGTGAAAATATATGCTCTTCCACTGCTTCTTAAAACCAGTGTATCTTGCCAAATCTCCTATGAAGTCAAAGCAGTGCACCAAAATGATAGCAGGAAGGATTTTGCAGTTCTCAAAGATCTAGTCCTGCATTCTCGCAGTTCTGAGCATGCCCTCATTTTTTGAAAAGACAGACAAAGATGGAGAAAGAGCAGATTGGGGTGGAAAATAACWGTTTTCATTGCAACCTTAGAGGGATATTGGCAATTTTGTAACAGAATGATTTGAGCATTCTGAGACSCTTCAAAATAAGGCAGGAAGCTTAATAAAGGCTTCATTTTGGAAAAACGGATACCTGAAAGTAGTATTTTACTGATTTTTATTGGAGTTGCATTTCCAGCTTTTGAAAATTAAGAGCCACAAACCAACACACATTTTTGAATAATATAATGCAGTTGGAGATAATGCAAATGTCTTTATAAATAACATAGTATAGCTTAAATCATTATTTTTAATGCCTTTTTTTTTTYCCCCTGTATGAGCAGGTCTGTGCTGGTCTGCATTAATTAAATGTAGGTAGGTTTGTAAGGCCAGATCATCATTACTTCTGTGTCCCTGATTTAAATCTGCAGTAAAACATTTCTCCATTTAGTTTGGTGCTTTTGTGTCATATTTCATACACTAGTTGTCTCTTAATTAAATCCATGATGGCCCACCAACACAGACTATTAAAATAACTATACTTTGCACTTGACATATTTATGAGACAGATTCATAAGAGTATAGACTGATACTTGAACTACTCACTGAGAAATGCTAATAAGATTATGATGAAGGTAAGATTAGAACATTCGTCTCCTTTTCACTTCTCTCTTCTTTATAGAAATTTATTTTTATAACTGCAATTCACTATTTCTATTCCAGGCTCTTTGATGTTGTTGTATATACGAGCAGTTCTTTCTGTGTGGATTTATTGTGGCAATGAAGAGTGGGAACCTGCTAATTTATATCACACCAGCAAAGTGCATAACTGTTGTGTTCCTGGAAGTATGAATGTTTGCAGAATCTGTGAAACCTTTGCATGGGATTGACATGTTCAGAATAATACCTTTGGAACTGGGCAATGACAAATATGGATGATGGTGAAGTGCCACACTGTTTTACTTTTATTGCCTTACTTCTTCAACCCTGTGGTTGGTGTAGAGCTGAGTCCTGGAGGAGGGAGGAGACAGTGGCATTGTGCCTGTGACCCCTTAGTGTTTATTGCTGTTCCTGTGACCCCTCAGTGCCCATTTCTGTGCCTCTGACCCTTCAGTGCCTGTTTCTGTGCCAGTGACTCCTCAGTKCCCRTTTCTGTGCCAGTGACCCCTCGGTGCCCGTTTCTGTGCCAAGSAGTCCGTGTCCTTGCCCATCCCACAGCCGTGGCACAACACAGTGGAGTGTCCTGGGCTGTGCAGCTGCTCTATGTGGTTCAGCTGTCCTGCAGGRTTGGAAATGGCCTGGGTGTATGGCCTCAGTGGATCAGAGAAAGAGAGGATTTCAATCATTTTTCATGACCGTGATGTTCACCTCTGAGGGACCTTTCCTTTCTCTCTCTTTTTCCCCATTCACATTCTTTCATGGGAGAAGTCCTGCTCATCCCTGTGTCACAGCTCCAGGTGTGGGTACAAATGGAAAGGGCTCTAAATACATGCAGCTTGAAAAGAATTTATTTTACAAGTAGGGTCTGTAGAAAGCCATATCTACATGATGTTCCGATTTTCTGGAAGATAATTACTGTGCTTCATCCTGGTATTCTCTGTCAACACAACAAAAGCATCAAATGCCCGGATTTCATTTAGAAATAAATGCAATATTAGAAAGTAAGAATAATAAAGATATATTAAATATTTCATCCTCTACAGAAATAAACCAGCTACAGTTCAGGGAGCTTCACTAAACACATTAAATCTAATAAAATCGCCTACACGTACTCCTGACACTAGTAGTAATTAAAATAACTTGTTTCAAAAAACTGGTCCTATACATGAATACTTATTGGCAATTATTTCKAAGTTCTTCAAACCAAAGATAAAGTAATTTGATTCACACACAATGTTCTTGTAAACGTGGTTCATACTGGGTTTTATATGCAGCTTAGGACTGTTAATTGCCATTTTGAGCCTCACAGTAAAATAGAGTTCAATATGTCGCTTTTTCTGAAGTATTRAGAAATGTTTGAGAAATGCTTGTCTTAGTCTAATCAACTGTGAATAATTTATTTCTGAGTCCTACTTTTCAGTAGAAATGGATCTGACTTTTCTCAGTGCTTCTCAAGTCTAATCAACATGTTACATTCATTTAATTAAGGAAATCTGTAACGAACTGTGAAGTGTATGTACCAACAGGCTTTTTTGTTGTGCAAAATTGGTGTATTTTCATTGTGAATGCGATTGTGATTGTTTATACTGACAGGTAGCCTATACTAAACAAATCAATTTTTTTTCTACACATATAGGTCAATATGAAAAGCATACAAACTGTTTTCTGAACATCCTCTCTCCTGGTGGACACACCACCCAGCTTCCCAAATTCACACAGCTGTAGCTTTCAGGCAATTCTCATTTCTGGAAGGGTTACGAGTAAGTAAGTGTTCTTCCATGCCTCAAAGRGGAGGAAGATATAACAGAGGTATAACATACAAGAGAGGGGGAAAGAGACTGACTTTTTAATCCCAGTTAGCCTGAGAAAGATTATCATAATAGAAGATTAAAAGACTGGCACAAACTTATGGTCAGGATCTGCATGCCAGAGTTACCCACAAAGGGGTGAACTAAAATTCTGATTCAGAGTCCTGTCTTTGTTCCCCAACCTTAATTTGTTTTCGTTTCTCTGAGAAATCAACATCCTAGGAAGGGAGTAGCTGGTACAGTAAAGGGTTTTTACATCATATATGCATTTGTTTTTAAARAGACTCTATATCTATCGGTTAATAAATGTTTAGAAGTTCATAATTCCTCTAGTATTTATGGGATATGAGGAATATTTTTTATTTGAACTATAGAGAGATGCTGTGGAGATTCACACATTATTTTTTTCTCCTTATCCTCAGACAAACTGTTCAGACTCAGAGAAAAAGTCCTCAGCCCTGATCTCAGAGAAAAAGTCCTCAAACCTGGTCTAAAAGGACAGTCCAGTGCTTATAGGTTATAATATGAAAATCATCAAAACTGTCCTTGACAGGATGTTTCTTTCCATTAGTGGATTGAAATGGTTTATTGTTGTCTACAGCATCATTACTTTAAATGTATTTTTTTACAAAGAGCAGCTGTGGCCATGTCTTGCACTGCTCCTCTTTGTGTGGTTTCTGCTACAGAAGTGAATCAGTGCCTTGGCAGATCCCCGTGGGGAGAGGGAGAGGGAAAGGTGAGGGGCTTGGCCATAGGCTGGGATATCAGCTGGGGGATTGTGCAACAGCACTGCAGAGAGTTGGAAGCAAAACATGCAAACCTGCAAGCAGAAAGTGCTCAGAGTAGGAAAAAAAACCCCAAATCTGGAATTATCTGTCTGCCAGTGCTGTATGTTTGCTCTGACAAAGCAACAAGTGAGTTTTGGCATTTTTTCAGACTGACAACTTTAACATTTCAGATAGAACATGGAAATGGAGAATAGTTGATCCTAAAGCATTAAATGAGCTTGCATCACCATGAAATCCTATCAATCCATTGCTGTTACAAAGAGAACTAAAAAATCCCAAGCTTTTGAGATGTATGTTAAATTTCTTTTGTTTCTTGTCCCATCCAGGTTTGATGGGGGAGCTGAAATCTCAAAACAAATCCTATTTCCAAATCTAGGAGCTATTTCAAGCAATGGTTGTAGAACAGGTGACTTTCCATTCCCTAGCAAAATTTTTCTAAGGCATGTTGTCATCTAATGATAATAGAGTCTTTCATTAGCAAATCTCAAATTATTGGCCATGTGACCTTGTGTTCAATAAATATTTATTTGAGAATCATACGTTAATTAATTCCCATTGTTTCTGTTTGAATTCTATACATGCTTATACTATACAATTAGAGAAAAACACAGACACAAGTAAACGTTGCTCATACAAAATGTTTCTATTACCCTTTACTTTTAAAACCATTAATAGATTATTAGGAGATATAAACATTGGAGACCATGGATCATATTTGCATGTTAATGAAATCCATGAATTATACATTATTTGCTATGGAGAGTACTAGAAACAATATTCCTCCTTTCTAATAGCTGTAAAAGCTGGAGGTTTCCTGGAGCACACATCACGTCCCCTCTGCAATACCTTGTAATAGAAAGAA